GGTCTCCGGCTGCCGGCGGGGATTGGACTTGACCTAGCGCTGGTGCCCTGTCGGTGGGAGGGCTTCCCCCGTGCCGCCGGAGCGGGGCCTTCCCCCGGGCCGGGGCTGGGGGTGCCTGTCGCAGCCAGTGGTGCCTCTCGGCTCCTTGGAGAAGTTTAGTGGAACCGTTTTGGCTGGTTGCGGGACAGGAGTATTCAGGAAGCAACATACAGTTTGCCTTGTGGCAGCCTTCCAATTAAACCAAGGGTTTAAGCCTTACATAGTCTGTCGTCCTTTCGTGTTTTATTGTGCGAAAAGTTCTTTTTGTTGTTCTTGTGTTCACCGAGGAACCCTGCGGTATTGAACCAAGCTTAACCTCCTAGGCTCTGTAAAAAAGCCTGAAGTGATAGGCCAGGGGTGTGAGCACCCACTCGTGTTTCCACAGGATGTTAGGATGGGGGAATCTTAAAAAATTACAAGCGCTAATTGCCTTACTGCTAATAACAATGGCTGCAACAACAACGAAATACAGAAGCTTCCACCAAATGTGCTGATGTAATATGGAGGCATTCAGCAGAACCGACAGAGGTTGCTTCTCCCCTTGTGTGCACTGACTTGAAGTGTGCTGTTGTGATGCGAAGTCCATTCCCTGGGTGTTTGTCCAGACTTGTCTATAATAGATGGCATTGCATAAATTACGGGCAGTAAAGAGTGTACCGAGTTTCTTTCATTCTTCTGAGGATCGATGCTTGCATCTTAACTGTGCCAAACTGACTGTGTACACTGAAGAGAGAAGGGTGCAGCTGCCCTATGAACTTCAGGGGGAAAAAAAAAACCCCAACTATTCTCTTCCTCCTGCTTCCCAGCAAATTATTTTGTTTGTCCAATGTCATGTTAAATAACTTCTTTCACAGAGTGCTAATCCTCTTCTGAACTGTGGATGCTGGTAACTCAACAATTGAGGAAGCAAATATGTCAATTCCTTCCTTAGTCTCTTTCCTGTCTCTCCTTTAACTTTTATAGCTCTGCTCTTCGAATTCTGCCTGCTTTATTTATCTAGTGCTCAGGTACCTACATCTGTTCTTTATATTAATTATCACCTCACCTAGAACAAGGGGACTGGCTCTTTTCTGATCTGTTATGAAGTGTGTTTTGGGAGGATTTTTGTTCCTTATGATACTGAATATCAAAGTCTGTGACACATCAGTGGTATGATTCCTTGGGTTTACTACTTTCCAGATAGAGGAGAATAAATTCTTCGCTACTGAAGAAACTATCTCCTGTATGTATTTCATAGGATACCTCTTAAAATATTTTTTGTCTTACAAAACTATGAATCATGTGAAAATAATAACAGATTAAAATAAATTTACTTCTCGACTAATCATGAATTTATGGCAAAAATGAACAACATTGTAGGTTACATAATACACTTTTAAGAGTGTGATCTAAGAATGTAAGTTTACATTTCAACTTCTTGATACTTTATGGTCTCAGATGGCACATTCAAAACCTTACACAAATAGCTTGGAAGAGATAGGGGCAAGTTATCAGAAGGAGAGTAGCATTAACACAAACTACTGAAAAGTTGCTATGGTTACAGATAAAGGTAATCCCTGTTTCTGTGAAAGTGTATCCTTTTGTAACAGCTATATTAATCAGTCTGATTTCTGAGAGAATTGTAAGTATACAAACTTCTGGCTCCATTTTCTTGGCAGCTAATAACTATGCAGCTATTTTTTTTTTTTTAAAATACTGAATGGGCTATGACTTGCATTTGAGATACTTCATTTAAACTACAAAGAGTATTATAGATTACATATAAATGTACTTGGAACATGCTGACTTCAGTGTAAACTGTAGTATACTTTTTTTCACCCAAGAGATATCTGATGTCAAGGAAAAGTCTTTTAAAATGTCTAGATCCTTTCTCAAGGACTCTGACTGAAGCAAGTTATGTGGCCATCTATCACTAGAGGCCTCGGTGATGCAGCTGTACAAGATACAATTCCATGTCCTGATTTAAAAAAAAAACCAAACAACACAACAACAACAACAAAACCCACAAAAAACCCCACGAAAACCCCAACATAAAACCCCCTGCCCCAAACCAAAACAACGTGGCAGCTGCTGAGAGTGATTGAGACCTCTTATGGATGTGCAGCTTTATAGGCCAGGAGATAATGGAGGGGGGGTGGGGGGAGTGATTCTCTTAACGGCTTACTCCCTGCTAGAAGGAAGCAGTTGGAATTTAACATGTGGATGAACTTTAATGTTCTCAGGGTAGCTAAGCTTTGGGTGGTTTGAGATACCTGCTAAAACTTCCAGGGCAGCGTGTTTGGTGCATCTGTACTGCTGTCCAGACCACTAACCTGTCCTCTCTGATGAAGACCCAGTATTTACCACATGATCCTCTTTGTTGTTTACAGATTTGGTTATTGCGGTGCGGTAGTACATCTTGGATTGAAAGCAGCAAGAAAAATCACAAAGTTCTTCAAGATTACTGGAATCTCATCAGTCTGGTATGTTGTTCTCTTTAGGCACCTGGAATAGCAAGTTGAAATCTTTGTATGCAAGGGCATCCATAGTTACTCCTAAGGATACCGAAGTTTCTAGAATCTCAGCTTTTCATCAGCAACTTCATTCTCAGAAAGTAATATGCTACGAAGCACTATTGCTGGGGTTGTGTAGAAGATTGTTTTTGCTAGTGGTGTTTGTAGCAGGACAGTGAACCTGTGCTCCAGAACCTTCAGTCAACATACACTCTGAACTTGTTTTCGTCTTGCCTGTCCAGCCTGGAAATTCCAGGTACTTCTGCAGACTTTTAAAACTAAAGTCAGGTTGGAGAGGCACTATTGTTAATTGACTTTCTAGAAACTGCACACTGATGTATTGAAGAATGTGTAAGAATATGAAAAGGAATGTTTCTTGCATCACACAGGTTGTCTTTTTCCCCCGTCCTTACATAGACATGGCCCTCATGAAGTTTGTTGTTTAGATTTGATCAAAAATTATTACTAATGTCTCAAAATAATTTTTCAAGTTCCAGAGTTCATAAATTCCTCTACTAATGTGCTTTTAAAATTGATATATTTCCAAAAACACTTTATGCAGCAAGTTTATGATAACTGTTGTTTATAAACGCATCTGAGGGTGTAAAAGAAATTGAAAAGCTAAATATTGGTTTTAAAGCTGTCTCTAATAATAAATAAGCTAAAAGTAAGAGCTATAATTATTTAAAAATAACAAAAAATTCAGCACGTTGTAGTGCGTAATTGACAACCAGAGGGTAAAGTCCTTTTCTACAATGCAAGTTCAGTGTGTGTATGCAGCAGTTCAGTTGCTTTGCTACTTATTAACGTGTACAGAATCCAGGAGGTAAATGTATTCCAGACTGAAAAACAGGTGCAAAATTGTGAAGAGAGCTCTTGTGGTTCACACTGATCTATTGGGAACTGGACAGTGAGTAACCATCTCTCCATCTAATCCCCAAACAGCCATCACATGTGGCTTTTGATCACTACTATTCTGGTCTCTGTTTGAACCGGTGACTTAAAGATGAAAGGCGCTGTTCTTGATCTCTTGAGCTGTCAAGTGCTCCAAACTTGCTCTCTTCTGTATGTGTAAGATTACAGAACAAATGGCCTTTTAGCAGTTCCACGATTACAATAGTCAAATGAGAGTCAGGTGCTTTCTCTTGTTACTGTCCTCAGTGCGGAGTTCAGTGGCAGCAAACTAAATCTTTTTTACACTGCTGTCAAAGCTTCCCTGCTTAATGTACTTGCAGCTGCAATCTGCTATTTTCTTTTTTTTTTTTTTCTTTTGCATTGCTACAGATATTGTAAGAGTAGCAAAGGCATAAATTGAGCCTGGACCTTAAAATGGTGCCTCTGCATTTTTGCCAAAATGTATGTGTGTTTACAGGGAAAATAGGTGGTTTATGTGCAGAAACTGTGCTTATAAATTAGGCTTTTCAATGTTTCACTAGGTCTCCTTCAGCATGGGATAACTTGAATAGCAATTTTTTCATGTCCAAATTCCCAACATCTAGATACAGATGTGTTTACCCATGGTTTTTAGTTCAGTGAGGTAATATCAACTGTGAACCTACTTTGGATACCCCACTCACAGATATAATTTTTTTTTTTTATTTTTACTTCTGTAATGAGGATAGCAAATTACTCCTGGGCATTCTTAGTGTAAATAGTTTTGTATTTTGTGAGTTTTATTTGTTTTTAAATGAAATGAGGTAAGCAAATCTAGGAGGTTAGTGCTGAACAGAGGAGAATCTGCTTTGCCATTCCCCTTATGCTCTGGGTAAGCCATGCTCTTGTTTATCAGAAACTGGCCAAACTTCTGCCAGATCAGTGACTCAGAGGCAGGTGGAAGGGTCTGATGAGCACCAGAGCTGGGCTGAGGGAGGTGGCCAGACTGTGTGACTAGCAGGAGAAAGGTGGGGAGAAAAAGGGATGAAACTTTTCCCTTGTAGTGATAAGGAGCTGCTAGTTGCCTGTGTAACAGAAGCATGAGCTGAAGTGTGGGATGTTTGATGATAAAAAATATCATCACTGTTCCAGTTGCGAGGTGGCTAGACTTCTGTGGCAGCGTATAGAGCTGGAGAGTTTTGGGACAATGTGTTTTGGGTTTTTTCCTCCCCTTCTGAAAGTACCCAAACAATAACACTCACTTTAGGGTTGCCACGTCCTCTTCTAGCACAGTTTGGTTGGTAAGATATTCTGCTGTTTTCAGGGGCCTAAAGTTAATGTGCTCTAAATTGAAGCTTTCCAAGATTGGTTACTGAGATACTTGGAGGACACTTTACTGGTATATTTTATTTGCATGAACCATGTTCTTGGTTTTGATTGCTTAGATAACATTTGGTCAAAAAAGTGTGGCCTCAGAGTTATCCCCAGGGGACTCAAATAGCTTCTAGCAGTACTGACTCTCGCATGGCACTGAATTCAGGTGCAAGGGTTAAGGTCTGTTTTTTTCAACTTGTATTTTAGGTTCTATAGGGGAAACTATGTAAATCTTGTTAATTCCCTTCTTGTAGGGTTTCATACTTACTAACTTACAACTGTAGGAATTGGTGCTTTTCAGTCATATTTGGAATTGTGGTGTGATTGATAGATCTAAAATAGAAGGTAACACAAAATGTGCTGTTTGACTGTTTTAGAGGAATTAAATTTCCTTCCTGGAGGTTTGTTTTATACTCATTTGGTGTATGTATCGCAGCGCAAGGGAGTACTTAGTTGTAAATACTTTCCTGATGTTGGGTGCTATCTGCAGTAAAGCAGTATGCTCAACTGTTTTGGGCTTGATTAATCTGTATTAGGGAAGTTAGAACTTTCCCATTTTGTGGTACGGGCGGTCAGTGAAGTAAGGGAAGGCAGGGTACTCCAGTGCTGGCTGGAGGAATGAGGGTAAGAACCAGAAACTAGGAGTGTTTTCTCTTTGCCCCTGCAACAAGTCCAAGACCAACCTGAATGTGCTTATGCTCACAAGTGCTCTTTCTCTAGCTTAATATTTTACACTAACGTATGAAAATGTTTTCTATAAGGCAACCTTGCTAACCAGGTAAGTCTTGTGTAACTATGATGATACTTTGTGGGTGCAGGAGGGAATGCTGACTGTGGCCTGGATCTTTGCGGTGTTGCTTGTTTGGAATGGGGCAAGGGTTTTCTCAAACAAGGTGTCATATCTGCACTTGTGAAATATTTATTAAGCCTTGTTTTGTTTTTATTTCTCTTGCATGCTCCAGGCTCTTCACTTGATAGATGGGTAGGGAACTGCATCAGTGTTTACACTGAGGAAAAAGAAAGGCTTTTAATCGAAACAACAGGTTTTTGTCCAGTGTTAAGAGGAGGCTGTTCTGTGAGAAATGCCGTTGATTGTCAGAACGTGAACAGTGTCTTGCACGTTTGTCCAGTCAAGTGAAGCCTGAATAAGCCCAAAAAGTTTCTGGCAGAAGCCATGGTACCTTGTGAGATGGAGAGAGTCACTTCCTGCGGAGCTCCTCTTCTGCTGACTCATGCTATAAATTGGTGGAAGAGTCTTTGGAACTGGCAACCCAACGTATTTTTAGCCGGAGTTACTGATTTATATAGTGTGCCCGGCTTCCCAGGGTAACTCCAGTCCCTCCTGAAGAGTGGATGGGCTCAAAACCCACAGCTAATTTTATCCTGTAAGTAGAGCAGGCGGCAGTAGTGTCACTGCAGCGGGAGAAGCTTCTCCAGCCCGCTCGATGCTCTCCTCTCCTCCACCCTCGACCCATCCGGCGGGAGAGCTGCCCGCTGGGTGGGGGTAGGTGCCCCGCGGGGAGCGGTGCTG